GCACGTGTGCTCGTGTGATCTCTGCGTTCGTTCACTTAGTCGTTTCCTTGTGTTCACGCCGCTTGCTAGTTCACGGGGAGAATTGGCAAGAGTTTCACTAGGAAAACATGACAACAATAATTGCAACAACATTGGCATCACAGACTACATCAGAGCTAGCTAGGCTGCTGGTCGACCTCCAGCGCAGCAAGGTCGACCGCGCTCCAGCGCAGCAGCGCTCGCACCGCTCCAGCATTGCAGAGTAGCGACGCGCCAACGTTGCATGTCCACGGTGTGCCAACGCTGCAGCAAGTCAGCTGCACAGCGTTGCATCCGCAGGACAACGGTGCACTTGCTTCGCAGGTGCGCGCAGCTGGTTGGCGCTCCACACCTTGTCACGAGCACAGCGCAGACGCCTGGCAGACTCCACGCCAGCGACTGCGCCCACCAGCCATGTCGACCTCGGGATACCACCCCGGCGACACCCGCACACGTCGCACGGGTATCCCGGTCGACCGGGCAACCACGTCCGGTCAACCAGCGCAGTCCGTAGCCAGCCACCAATGCCCGGCGTCCCCAGTCCGGCGTCCAGGCGCCCAGGACGCCTTCCGAACCCCCAGGTCGGCGTCCAGATGCCCAGGACGCCGTGCAGACCTCCAGAGCGGCGTCCAGCCTCCCAGGACGCCGACCAGACGCCCAGGTCGGCGTCCAAGCCCCCAGGACGCCCAGATCGGCGTCCAAGCCCCCAGGACGCCGTGCAGACGCCCAGGGCGGCGTCCCAGGCTCCTAGGACGCCGTGCAAACGCCTAGGTCGGCGTCTGGCCTTCCAGGACGCCGTGCAGGCGCCCACGACGTCGACCAGGAGCCCGGGTAGTCGTCGCGACGCCCAGCTCGGCGTCCAGCTTCCCAGGACGCCGTCCAGGCGTCCAGGACGCCAACCAGGCGTCCAGGGGGGCGTCCTCCTGCTCGGCGCCCTCCAGCCAGGCGCCCTCCAGCTCGGCACCCCTGCAGTGGCCCCCGTGCCCACTGCTGCAGGTCGGCTGCAACCCCCGCACATCCGACCACAAGGTTGGCTCCGCCAAAGCGAGGACGGGGCCTAAAAACACTCCCGTTGACATGTTCGAGCGGGTTCTACTCCTTTCTTTATCCTTGTCTACGTCGACGACTTGGTGTTTGCCACAGCAGACAGGGCAGCCCTGGCTCAGGTGAAGTCCGAACTGCAGAAGAGACACAAGTGCACTGACCTGGGTGAGCTGCAGCGTTACCTTGGCTTGCAGATCACCCGGGACAAAGCCGCTCGCACCACACATGGTGCAGCAGGTCCTTCGGCGGTTCGACTTCCAGTTCTCCACCACTCAGCCCACTCCTCTTGCTGTTGACCACAGACTCACGGGCCCCTTTCCTGACGAGCCCTTTGAGTCCAGTGGACCCTACGCAGAGCTGGTGGGCTGCCTCATGTACCTGATGACTTGTACTCGACCGGACCTCGCCTTTCCCCTCAGCATCCTTTCTCGCTTTGTTGCGACTGGGAGACACCGCCCTGTCCACTGGACAGCTGCTGTGAGGGTGGCGAAGTACCTGGCGACTACATCAGGCATGGGGCTTGTGCTTGGAGGGACTAAGCCATTGGGGTTGACTGGTCACTGTGACTCTTCCTACGCTGACGACGTGGAGACTCAGCGCTCGACTCAGGGTTACTGCTTCAGTCTGGGAGCTGGTGCTGTGTCGTGGAGGTCTACACGGTCGTCGTCTGTGGCTACTTCCAGTGCAGAGGCAGAGATCTACGCGGGTGCCATGGCGGCACAGGAGCTTCGCTGGTTGACCTTCTTGCTCGCCGACCTTGGTGAGCGGCCTCGCTCTGCACCGACCTTGTACGCTGACAACAAGGCCATGATCCTCCTGTGTCGAGAGCCTCGACTGGAGAGCAGAGTGAAGCATATTGACGTGAGGTACTTCCTCCTGTGAGAACTACAGTGACGCGGTCAGGCACGCCTAGACTTTGTGGCCTCAGAGGCCAACACTGCAGACGTCTTCACCAAGGCCTTGGCGCTTGGTGACCACCACAGGTTCTGTGTGCAGTTGGGGCTTGTTGAGGTAGGCCCTCGGTTGCTGTAGTCCTGTTGCTTGCTCTGCTTGTTGTGCTTTGTATTTATATCCTAGTGAACTCTTGAACTGGCCTTGTGGCCGCTTGCTTGCGCTCGGAATTTGTGTGGTGTCCTTGAGATCGACCCTGAGCTTGCCTTGGTTCTTGCTTTGACTGGTCTTGTGACCGTTTGTTCACCTTGCTTGCTTGATGCCCCTCACTTAGCCTATGGGGGTGTGTCAAATGTTGAACATTGATATGATAGGCTATAGTGAGTTGCACTCTAGGGGGTACAGCTTCTAGGGTTGCTCATTTGTACCCCATTCGTTTCTATTCCAATCATTCCGTTGCTAACCACTCTTGAGATTGTTCACCTTGGCGGCGAGCTCAGCGCTCTGGCCGACGAAGGTGGACGGGAGCACAGTGGCGTTGGCAAGAGCGGCCATTGTCTACTGCGATAAAGGTACAGCTAGTAGCTGTGAGGGGTTCGTGGAGAATTTGGGAAGTCTGCTGCTGATCGAACTGCGGCTGACTTGACGAGAGCTCTAGTGAAAGTGGTATTTCAATGTTGGCGATTTGGCATTGGTGGAACTGATTGGGGGGGTGAATTGCAGGAATGTGCCCCAACATGTCTACAATTCCGCTCTCCGCTTTAGGGACCTATACCGAATCGGGTTTTTCCATAATTAGGTAATATGTATCTAAAAATGCTTCTCCATGTTACAGATTTTATTTTCCCATGCTTTTCTCCATATATGCGCATCCTCAGATTGTTAGTATTTTCGTCATTATTGCAGCTGCGCTGCACCTATGCTTGCACTGTCATTCAAGGCGGTGTATTGTGTCATTGATGAACTGGAGGTATAAGTGAAAACGTGTATGACAACTTACGCTATAACAACTGGAGGATGAGTAAATTGATGTAATCTTTCATATGGATCTGGTATTAACCTGTATCAACTTGACTACGTAGTGCATAGATAGGCTGTACTGGAGTGCTAATGCCCCTCGAGAAGCTGCCATGTTTTACTCTGTCTTGACAGTCTTGGGGCGGCGGGGCTTGTACACCATTGACAAAACAATCAGAAAAATCGGAATGACAGTACCAGTATAGTACATGCCACTGTAGGCTGAATATGCGCCCGATAGCGTCATCACCTGCACCATGAACATACGGTACATAGCAAACACGCACAAAGGAGGCAAAAGCAGTGAGCAGAAAGGAGTGGGCAGCATAGAGGCCCAGAGTGAGGTACAGATGACTGCACTGCAGCAGAGTTTACTAGATAGAAATTCATGGAAAAGGTAGTAAAACATGTACGCTTAGGCAGAAAGCGCTGACCATGTGGCTGCAGACAAAATAACTCTCGAGTCGACTCACTACGCCTTTTGAATCGACTCAAAAATGACTGAAAACGGACACACTTACACAGAAGGCGCTGGCCATGTAGCTGCAGACGAAGATGCCGTAGAGGGTGTGAAGAAGCGCAACAATGCGGTGCGTGATGGTGCCCTTGGGGATTCCTGCAGTGAGTTGATATATGGCTGCATGCGAAGGAGGGAAGAGAGATGAAGGGCAGGAGAGGGGAATTCAATGAATAAATTTTGAGAAATTCAATAATCAACCTGCAGCGGTGCGTGGTGGTGCCCTTGGGGAGCTGGTAGATGGCTGCATGATAGGGAGGAAAAGTGGGAAGGAGAGGGGGAATCACTCTGGAGAAGGTGCATTGAAGGGGAAGTAAGCAGGAGCTGACGACCCCGGGTGAAGGGGTATGAAGGCACAGCGGAGACTGGGTAAATGTTGACTTTTGAATCGACTCAAAAGTCAACTCGGTATGAAGGCACAGCGGAGACTGGGTAAATGTGTTTCGGAATAGGAGTGACAAGGTGATGGGAGCGGTAATGGGAGTAGGAATGGAAAATGGATATGGATGGGTAGGCGAATGGGAATGGCCATGAGAACAGGAAGTGAAAAAGAAACGGGCTCAGAAAAGATAGAAAAGGGAGTGGGAATGCGATGGAAGCACAAGAATGGTAATGCAGGGAAAACTACACTGTCATCATAATTTCTACAGAATGTGGGGTTTAGCATAATGTGGGGTTTAGCATAATGTTAATTTCCTGTTTCCGAAACGCTCAAGTTCCATTGCTCAAGATAACAACGGATGTTCAGGAAAGTGTGCACACACCTTTGGAGCTGGCAACGACAAGCGCCCAGTTGGCAAAGAAGATGAAGTCGCCCCAATTCAGGCCCTGCAGGTACCAAAGGAACGAGTACGGTGTTGGGCAACGTGCAGACACTTGGGCGATTCCGAGTTTTGAGTCGACTCAAAAGAAAGAAGTACGGTGTTAGAAAATGTGCACACAGCGGGGTTTTGAGTCGACTCAAAACACACCATGACTCAAAGGAAAGGAGTACGGTGTTGGAAAACGTGCACACAGTTGGGCGATTCTGAGGAGGAAAGCACAGCTCTGAAACTAACGAATGACTGGAAGCAGAGAATGTGAGTGAAACACAGCAATATGGCTGGAGGCAGAGAATGTGAGTGAAACACAGCAATATGGCTGGAGGCAGAGAATGTGAGTGAAACACAGCAATATGGCTGGAGATTGTCCTGCCGCGCCATGAACCAGTGGGGAGCTTGCTCTTGATGAAACCAAGGCCAATATACACGAATCGTTGCAAGTTGCAGTGATTGTTAAGAGCCAGCATTTGTGGTGCCAAGACCAGTAAGTGTGAGATCTGTATGTACGGATGGCCTATCATATACCTTTCTGAGGAATGATGGTTTAAGTGCTTGCATGAGAGTGAGGTGACGTAGAAAGGGGGCAGGAGATGAGAGAACGACGCAGGGGTGGTGTTTGCGAGGGACGGCAAGGGAGCGTACAGATGGGGGTAGGGGCGACGCGCATGGGGCTAGGGGCGACGCACATGGGGCTAGGGGCGACGCACATGGGCGAGCGAAGCATGGGATGCAATAGGAAGAACGCAGATGGGAGGGAGTAAGGAAGGACGCACATGGGAGGAGGGGGTAAGGAGGAACGCACATGGGGGGAGGAGGTAAGGAGGAAAGCACATGGGGGGAGGGGGTAAGGAGGAACGCACATGGGGGGAGGGGGTAAGGAGGAACGCACATGGGGGGAGGGGGTAAGGAGGAACGCACATGGGAGGAGGGGGTAAGGAGGGGGAACGCAAATGGGCGGGAGGGGGGTAAGGAGGAACCCACATGGGAGGGAGGCAAGGGAGCATGTGAAACTCACATGGGAGACGGCGCTGACGAACATGGTGGCGAGCATGTGGAAAAAGGTGGCCTTCCTGCCGGGCGGCACCATGCGCTCATACACGTCTGAGGAGGGACAAGAGCAAGAGGCCAGGGGTGGGCAGTTAGCAGGGCGGCACGGGGAAAGTAGCGGACAAGAATGGAGATTGAAGCATGAAGCATGGCGAGCATGGAGATCCACAGCGGTGGAGAGGTGGAGGTGCAGGTGCAGTGCGGTGTGCACTCACAGAGCCTGAGCCAGAGAGCAGGGATGAGGGGGTTGCCACGGGCTGATAGAGAGCAGGGATGAGGGGGAGAGCAGGGAACTCACACAGCCGGAGCCAGAGAGCAGGGAACTCACACAGCCGGAGCCAGAGAGCAGGGAACTCACACAGCCGGAGCCAGAGAGCAGGGAACTCACACAGCCGGAGCCAGAGAGCAGGGAACTCACACAGCCGGAGCCAGAGAGCAGGGAACTCACACAGCCGGAGCCAGAGAGCAGGGAACTCACACAGCCGGAGCCAGAGGCCGTAGGAGATGTTCCACGTGGTGGCGAAGTCGAGGCAGCTCTTGGGGAACTCGAACCCCAGAATATCCGCGTTCCGCGCTCTATTCCACAGCGCCTTCCCCTCCCCCTCCCCCTCCCCCTCCCCCTCCCCTCCAGGCGCCGCACATGTCTCATCACCCTCCCTCTTCCCCCCATCACCACCCTTCCCACCCCCGTTCGCCCCCTCCGCTTCCCCCTTCCCAGCCCCGCCCTTCCCAGCCTCCCCCCCCTTTTTCGGCGTCTCCCAGCCACTGAAGCCCAGCCCGCCGACGACCATGGCGGCCTCGGTGATGCTCCAGAGGATGTAGGCGCGGAAGCGCCACACGATGCTGGCCTGGTGCGCGAACAGCCAGCGCAGGTGGAAGGGGTACGCGCGGTTCTTGCGCAGGTCGCTGATGCGCGTGAGGTCCAGCGAGGGCGACACGAGCAGGAAGACGAGCGCCGCGAGGATGCCCTGCACGAACGCGCGGAAGAACGCCGGGAGGACGGACGGCTGCTTGAGACCCGGGGACCAGATCTGCAGGGGAGGGGGGTGAATGGGAAGGGGGTGGATGGGAAGGGGGTGGATGGGAACAGACAGAAGAGTGAGGCTATCGCTGCAAGGATGCCCTGAACCGAACGCGCGGAAGAACGCGGGGAGGACGGACGGCTGCTTGAGACTTGGGGACCAGATCTGCAGGTGGCGAGGAGGGGGATGGATGGGAACAGAGAGAAGAGTGCGGAGAGGAGAGCGGAAAATGACGCTTAGAACGAGCGCGCAGGAGAATGGCGGAAGGGCGAACGGGTGCGTGAGCGTGAGGGGGATACGAATATGAACCACGAGAACGACGATCAGCCGAGAGGGGGATACGTATATGCATGTGGCGTCACGTCACAGCACAGCCCAGTGATACGGATACGCGCATCCACTTCAAGTCCAGTCGCGGAGGGGGTTATGCACATATACACGCGCATCGAGTTCAGATGAGAATGCGTACCCATTGTCGGCGGGTCCAGTCGTCGTACGCTTTGAACTTGAAGAACGGGCCCGTCATGTGCAGCCCGCGTTGACTTTTGAGTCGACTCAGAAGTCAACACAGCCCGAAGCACAACAGGTGCCCCGGGAGCTCCAGGGACGGAGGCGCCTCAAAACAGTACCCCAACAGCTAGTTGTGAGGCGCCTCAAACCTAGAGATGAGCATGCGTACCCCTCGTCGAGGGGGATATGCATATATGCACGTGCGTACCCCTTGTCGGCGGGTCCAGTCGTCGTACGCTTTGAACTCGAAGAACGGGCCCGTCATGTGCAGCCCGAAGCAGAAGAGGTACCCCAACAGCTCCAGCGGCGACGGCATGGTAACCAGCGCCGCCTTTCGCCGCTCCAATCGCGAACGCTCCATCCGCTCCTCGCGCCGCCTCTGCTCCTCGGTTAATTCCTTCTTCTCCGTCTCGTCCTTGGCTTTCGCGCCTTGGTCCTTCTCCTTGAGCAGCGTGAGCCCGTCCTGGTAGTTATACGCGACAGCGGTGAGCTTTGTAGCGAGGACGGTGAGCGCGCCTGTGCAGTCGAGCACGCCCTCCGTGCGGGTCTCGTGGGTCCGCATGATGATGTGGCTGGAGGAGGTCGGATCGAATCGCATCGAAGGAGGGAAAATGCACGTGACGAACGTGAGAATTGCACATGCTGAATGTTGAGTCGACTCAAAAGACGAATCACCTCCAACGACTAAAAAATGCACGTGAGAAACGGAAGATCTGAGCGTGAGAAATCCACATGCTGAACGGTGGTGAGTTAAGGAAGCTTGACGCGGGGAATGCCGGGCGGAAAGACGGAAGGGAAACTTACCATCCGATCAAGTACGCGAACGTTCCGAAGAACGTTAGGACGCCGCAATTTCTCCGAAACAGGCGCATTACGGCCATGGAGTAGAGAATGCACGCGAAGAAGTGCGCGTACGCCGTCCATCCGAACACGAACGCCGATAAAAGCAGTCCCGTTACTGTGCAGTACAGATGGCGGAGTGTAGGCGAGGAGATGAACCTATGAATCCATGCGATCGGCACGAACGCGAAGCTAGCTAGCAGGAAAGTCGCGGCTGGACGGGGTGTGCCGATAAGGTCAGCGAAAGCCTGTACGGGATCCATGGCGGACCCCCAACGCAAGGAGTATCAATGGGCTGATGCAGAGGCGAATGGCGGGCCGAGGCTGTTCTTGCTCTCTCTAAACGTACTCCCTCCCGTGTCCAGCTTATGTCAGCTTATGTCTGGCTTTCGCAAACAAGAAGTTATCCAGAGAGGCTGAGTGAAATACGAGGTTTTGTCAGGCACCGACCAGCACTACCAATGCAACCTTGAGATCACCGCAGCCTAGAATGAGTCATTTTTGGAACAAATTGATTGGAGAGGCTGATTCAGATGCTCACCACGACTACCAACGCGGTGAGCGGAATACACCTCTTCCAACTGTGGCAGACCGTATTACAACGCGTCAAACGAGCCCTGATTCCCTGAACCAAATGTATGAATGACCCGCCTAACTGGGGTCGGCACAACCGAGATTGCCATGCGCGTTCAGTGGAGCTGTTGTCTTTTGGTGGGATGCTGACGAGATCGCAACCGCTCATCCAAAGTGGATGAGGCGATTGTAAATCATGGGCGTTGGCGATGATGGAACAAGAAGCACACTGGCGAAGCGCGACAAATGTGTCAGAAACGACAGGAAGTCTGACACCCAGGAGGGAAGGTGAGTGTTGTGAGTTGTGGATTGGAGTGCGCGTACTAACGAATAACGAAACTTTGATCAATGGGAATCAGTATGAAGGAGGTATTAGTTCACTCCTCACGACGTATTTACCCTCACACCGACCCTACTTCCAAACCACGTTGCAACTAGGACAGGGCCCTAACAATTTGCACATTACCGCCACCATTATTTAACTGTTTGAAGTTTGCTTACATTGTAATATTTGCCTCGATAGTGCAATCCTTGCTCGCTCGCCCAATTGCACTCGTAACGCATCAGTTTTTGGCATCCACATTCCCGCAAAAACCTTAAAAAAAAAAACCATTTTGAGCCACTTCGGTCACGGAGGTTAATGCAGAACAGTACTTTCATCAAATAAGCTTCCCTGATATGTCACATTTCCCTAACAAAACCCCTCGAAGGGAAGCATGTGTGGAGCCACAAATATCCACAAGCACATAATCACCAGTGCTCGCAACCCCCCCTCCAGCTGAACCCCTACTAGCCCCACCCCCACCCCCCCCACTTTCCAAGTCCAGCGAAGAACCCTTGTGTTTCCTGTCCGCCGCTGTCAAATGCTGGTGGAGGGAGTTGTTGAAGGTCACTCGGTGGCCCAGGTCAGTCTTCCCAATCAGCTCTGTGAGTGGAGAGCGCTTGTTGGGACCCTCCACCAGCACCACCTGCTTGGTTCCCACCTGGAGAAGAGAGAAAACAGAAAAGGATATGGGCCGCGATGGAGAGTGCTTTTGCGGCGCCTTGAAAACAGCTCGATGGCCCAAATCAGTCTTTCCAATCAGCTCTGTGAGTGGAGGGGTGCTTGCTGAGAACGAGTGCAAGGTACAGGCAGGTGGCAGTGAGGTAGGTAGCAACTGGTGCAGGTGAAACGTTCCAGCAGGTGGAGGGAAGTAGCAAGGGCCTCCCAAGTGCATGAGGCACACATTCAGTTGTGCCTGGCAGTGCCCTGCCTCTTCAACCGACTTGCAAAGCTGAATATGTGGAGTGTATAAGGCAGATACAGTTGCGTCTGGCAGGGATGTGACGCCCTTGAGGAGTTGCTTTCGAGAAGTCTCAATTGATGTCCTCGAGCACACCTCGAGCACACCACAAACAACCAGGTGTGGCAGGTCTGGCATGCACCCGTGTCTGCCAGGAGCGGTGTATCTGAGATACACCACACCCTTGGGGATGCATGCACAAGGCCTTACCTGAGCCGCGTATCTGGCAGATGTGGTCTCCCGAAAGGTAGAGACGAGTCCACTCAGCCGCCGCTGCTTCACCTCCTCCGGTACATCATCCTCCAGCCGCCGGTGGGCGTGCGTGTGCGGGCTCACAAAGTAGGTATGGTGTATGCGGCAAGGACACCGGATAGGGCCTTACCTGAGCTGTGTATCGGGCAGCTGTTGCCTCCCGGAACGTGGCCACGAGTTCACTCAGCCGCCGCTGCTTCACCTCCTCCGGTACATTGTCCTCTAGCCGCCGGTGGGCGTGTGTGCGCGGGCGCAGCGAGTAGGCAAACATGTAGGCCATGTCGTATCCCACTGCACGCATGAGAGAGAGGGTTTCCTGGTGCTCCTCCTCTGTCTCGCCGCAGAAGCCTGCAGCAGCATTGGCGGCACAGGAGCAGCGGCAGCAGCATGGGAAGCGGGGTGGGGAGGGCAAGCAGAGAGGAAGGGATTAGTGGGGCACAGGCGCAGCGAGTAGGCAAACATGTAGGCCATGTCGTATCCCACTGCGCGCATGAGAGAGAGCGTCTCCTGGTGCTCCTCCTCTGTCTCACCGCAGAATCCTGGGGGATCGGCAAGCAGGAAGGAGGGGCACGCAGGGAGAAAGGGGCTTTTGATCGGCACAGCTGTACTGAGAAGGTGAACATGTAGGCCATGTGTCGTAGTGCTCTGCGCGCATGAGAGACACAGCGAGTAGGCAAACATGTGGGTCATGTCGTATTACTCTGCGCGCATGAGAGAGAGCGTCTCCTCATGCTCCTCCTCTGTCTCACCACAGAGGCCTGGGGGATTGGCAAGCAAGAAGGAAGGGCACGCAGGGAGAAAGGGGTTTCTTCTACGCACAGCCACAGTGAGCAGGCAAACATGAGCGAGTGAGCGTCTCCTCATTCTCCTCCTAAGTTTCACCGCAGCAGCCCGGGGGATCCACAGGGTATCAACTTGCACAGGCAGCGGCAGTGGCAGCAGGGTGCTGCACCTGAACAGGGTCACCACCACTGACTTTTGAGGTGCGTCAAAAGGCAGCAGGGTGCTATACCTGAACAGGGTCACCAGCACTGACTTTTGAGGTGTGTCAAAAGGCAGCAGGGTGCTATACCTGAACAGGGTCGCCAGCACTGACTTTTGAGGTGTGTCAAAAGGCAGCAGGGTGCTATACCTGAACAGGGTCGCCAGCACTGACTTTTGAGGTGTGTCAAAAGGCAGCAGGGTGCTATACCTGAACAGGGTCACCAGCACTGACTATACTCCCGCACTCACCTCTGACCATGCTCTCTCCCTCTCTCTCTCACGCACACACCAGCTCCAGATACGCCCCGCACTCTCATGATGCTCCCTCACTCCCTCACCCACTCACCAGTGATGAGGTCACTGCTGACGGCAGCACCAGGCACAATGCTCCTCACTCGCTCCACAAGCTGCAGTTGCGCCTCCCTCAAACACCCCCTGCCCATTTAAGGCGGCTCAGACGTTGCCCTGACCCGATCCACAAGCTGCAAATACGCCCCTCACTCACCTCTGATAATGCTCCGTCACTCACTCACTCACCAGTGAGATTGCTCAGTCTCACACTCACCAGTGAGATTGCTCAGTCTCACACTCACCAGTGAGATTGCTCAGTCTCACACTCACCAGTGAGATTGCTCAGTCTCTCACTCACCAGTGAGATTGCTCAGTCTCACACTCACCAGTGAGATTGCTCAGTCTCACACTCACCAGTGAGATTGCTCAGTCTCACACTCACCAGTGAGATTGCTCAGTCTCACACTCACCAGTGAGATTGCTCAGTCTCACACTCACCAGTGAGATTGCTCAGTCTCACACTCACCAGTGAGATTGCTCAGTCTCACACTCACCAGTGAGATTGCTCAGTCTCTCACTCACCAGTGAGATTGCTCAGTCTCTCACTCACCAGTGAGATTGCTCAGTCTCTCACTCACCAGTGAGATTGCTCGATCCACCAGCTGCAGGTACACCTCCCCCTACCTCTCATAATGCTCTCTCTCCCTCACTCACCACTCACTCACCAGTAATGAAGTCGCTGCTGATGGCAGCGCCAGGCACAACTTTCTCACTCGATCCACCAGTTCCAAATACGCCTCCCTCGAACACCCCCTACCTCTCTCTCACTCCCTCTCTCACTCCCTCCCTCACTCACCAGTGATGAAGTCACTGCTAATGGCAGCGCCTGGCACAACGCTTCTCACCCGATCCACAAGGTCGAGATACGCCTCCCTCGAATACCCCTCCCTGTGCATCGAAGGCCCCTCGCTCACCACCCACGCTGCTCTCTCTCTCACCCAGCCACTCACCTGTTATGAAACCGCAGCTGATGGCAGCGCCAGGCACAACGCTCCTCACTTGATCCACCAGCGCCAGGTACGCCTCCCTCGAATACCCCCTGCACATTTGAGGCGCCTCAGGAGTACCTTCACTCACCTGTTATGAAATCACTGCTGATGGCGGCGCCAGGCACAATGCTCCTCACTCGACCCACCAGGTCCAGATACGCCTTCACTCACCTCTGATGCTGCTCCCTCCCTCACTCACCCTCTGATGCTGCTCCCTCCCTCACTCACCCTCTGATGCTGCTCCCTCCCTCACTCACCCTCTGATGCTGCTCCCTCCCTCACTCACCCTCTGCTCACCAGTAATAAAGTCACTGCTAATGGCGGCGCCAGGCACAACGCTCCTGACGCGATCCACCAGGTCCAGATACGCCTCCCTCGAATACCCCCTGCGCATCCTCCCCAGCACACTGCTGCTGCCGCTCTGTGCGGGCAGATGCAAACTTTTGCAAACGTTGCCCCGGGCAGCCATGAGCGAAAGAAGCTCCTTGGGAAAGTCCTTGGGGTGAGGGGAGGTGAACCGGAAGCGGATGTCGGGAAAGTTCCGGGAAGCTTCGTCTAGGAGAGTGGCGAATCGGATCCCACCCAGCTTGGGTTTGTAGATTGTGGAAAAGCCAGGGGTCAAGTGCGGTTGGGGGGAGGAGGAGGAGGAGGAGGAGGAGGAGGAGGAGGAGGAGGAGGAGGAGGAGGAGGAGGAGGAGGAGGAGGAGGAGGAGGAGGAGGAGGAAGGGGAAGAAACAGTGGTGGTGACAAACGTATCACATGCTGACGTGTCCCGGTAACTGTTAACATTCTGCCCGAGAAGATAAATTTCCTTCACGCCCTGCCCGGCGAGCTCCTCGATCTCCCCAAGGATGCTCCTGATTGGCCGGGAGCGCTCCCTGCCCCTCGTGAAAGGCACGATGCAGTAGGAGCACATGTTGTCGCAGCCCCTCATTATAGTCACAAACGCGCTGACGGAATTAGAGGCGAGCCGAACGGGTGACACGTCAGCATAGGTTTCGTCAAGGGAGAGGAGCGTGTTGACTCCCGGCTGACCCGCCTCCACCTGTTTGGCCCCCGGACAAAAAGAGAGAAAAGAAAATAGGGTCGAAGCGAAGGGGGGGGAGGGGGACGGGTGGTGTGGGGAGGTTGCTTCTGACCCAAGGGACACGCGAGCGTAGGCTATGACGCGGGAGAGGAGAGTGTTGACCCTGGGTTGACCCTGGGTTGACCCTGGGTTGACCCTGCGTTGACCCGCCTCAACCTGTTCGGCACCGGGTAAAAGCGGAGGTAATCGCGGGAGGGGGAAAGAGGGGAGGGAGGGTGGGGAGGGTGGGATAAGTGGGAAGGTTGGTTTCGACCAAAGGGGCACTTCAGCGTGGGTTATGATCTGGGAGAGAGGGACGCTGAAGGGACACCTCAGCGGAGAGAGGGACACCTCAGCGGAGAGAGGGACACCTCAGTGAATCTGACCCGCCTTAGCTCAGCCTGTTCAGCAGCAGCGGGAGAACGCGAGTGGAACAAAAGAGGTCGGTGGAAGGGAGAGTGAAAAGGAGCAAGGTGTGAGAGGATGTGAGGGAAAGAAATGAGTGGAGAGTGTATAAGGGGAAAACGTAGACCTGCGGGAGTGAGGTGAGGAGGAAGGAGGGAGAGGTATGTGAGGCAAAAGTTACAACAATGGACCAGTACGCATTGACAGATTGTACTGGTCTGTCTGTCTGGGTGTCGCATTATCGCATACACCACTCACTCACTGACTGACTCATCCAGCAGGCGTGGCAGGTCCCTGTAGGCGTCAGGTCCACACACAGCACGTCCACCATCTTATCCACACTAGCTGCTACAAGAAACATCAAACACCATACTCGTAACAGTCACACATCCAGCTCTCGCCTCATCTAGGAGCCGCAGTAGATCTCTATAGGCGCCAGGCCCACACAGCACGTCCACCATCTTATTATCTGCCGCCACCACCAACTGCCCCTTCTAGAACCTGGACATTTTCTCACTACAAGCCCACTCATTACAATCACCCTACTCGTTACAGTCACACAACCCTCCCACGCTCATTCAGCAGGCGTGGCAGGTCCCTGTAGGCATCAGGCCCACACACCACGTCCACCATCTTATCCGCCGCCACTAGCTGCTCTGCCCCTTCAAGAACCTAGACACATACTCATTACAAGCCCACCTCGTTACAGTCACACATCTGGCTCTCACCTCATCTAGGAGCCGCGGTAGATCCCTGTAAGCATCGGGCCCACACACCACGTCCACCATCTTATCCGCCGCCACCAGCTGCTCCTTGAGCCGCTCTGCCATGCACCCCAGCACCGCCACCTTGGGCGGAGGTGGTAACCACCCCGCTGGTAACCCTGTAACAGATGCAGCACCAGCAGCATCAGCAGCAGCAGAACCAGCAGCAGCAGCACTAGCACTAGCAGCAGCAGCAGCAGCAGCACTAGCACTAGCAGCAGCAGCAGCAGCAGCGGCAGCAGCAGCAGCAGCAGCAGACTGAGCGAACTTATCCCTCCACTTCCGCTTCACATGCTTGAAATAGTTCAGCCGATGCCCCACCTTCGCCTCTGCATTCTCCCTGATCGCACACGTGTTCACCAGAATCACCCGCGCCTCCTCCGGCCTATCAGCTCGCGCCACGTTGAACCCTGCTGATTGGAGGATCCCCAGTACCACCTCCAGGTCGTTCACGTTCATCTGGCATCCGTACGACTCCAGGTACACTCCCCTGGGGTCTGTTACTTTATCCTTAAACAAATTTGTGGCAATATGGGGGATGGATTCGTGAAAGTGTGGTGGGAGGTCAGCCTGGGTAGCGTTGATTTGTGCTTGAGGCGATTGTGTGGATTGATGGGGATGGAGTGACGGGTTTTTAGGAAGCAAATCAGCCATTTGCTTCGAATCTGAATCTTTCCCTCCCACTCTCCTTGCTGCTTTTCCTGCTCCCTTTGCTCCATCCTCTCCTGCTTCTGCTCCTGCTTCTCGTTCAGCTGCCCGCCTGATGAAATCTGAGAGCGACGGGCCGGTCCGGATGGCCTGACGGAACGAATGCCGTGCAGTCGAGGACGCTACAAACGAGGATGCGCTAACATTGTGCCTTGCCCCGTCTCCGGCCGTGTCGATTCCCACACGCGTTTCCCGGAATTCTGATTCCAGAGCCGCTACATGCCTTTCCTGCTGCTGCTGCTGCGGCGGCGGCGGCGGCTGTTGCTGCTGCTGCTCCACACTGTCGCTGAAATGCAGCGCGCCGAGCCCGCTCGAGAACGTCCTCGTTACAATGGGGCTCAGTTGTGGTGAGTAAACGGGAGCTCGGGCCATGGAAGGGCTTGCGATCGGACGGTTGTGAACCCTCCATGGATTTCCGAGCGCACGAACGGACGGTTCAGATGAACGCGAGCGACTCTGAGGGGAATTCGCGATTTTGAAACGCGACGCGGCATGCGGTTCCAATGGATCGAGTTTCGAGACATCTGGTCTCCTTCTACGGAAGACGGAGGGGTAGAAAGCGCATGAGGCGGAGGAATCGAGAATCCAGCAACTATCCACAGCACCTAGCGAGTTGGCTTTGCTGTGCCAGTTTCCAGCTGCTAGCGAAATAAGGCTAATCGGTCGATCACGCATGGCTGGGGGTTGCTGCGACAACCGTGAACGCCTCGATCGCCCGCTTGGATCGCACGGCCTAGGTTAGAGCAATCTCTTACGGCCAGATACGACTTGTCATACCACCAGAACCATAAGGATGTGTCAGGGAGGGGCGCTCGGCCGCGAAAACAACGTATAACCACCACATAATTTCGACTTTTAGTGCGAATCCTACTCCATAAGTGTAACGCGATAACAGTTACTGTGCAACTTCTCTATGAGGTGATACGCTATCGCGTTACCTTCGGGAATGCTTCCAAAACCTTTCGATTATTCCAGATATAGCTTTCAGTGATGGAATGTGATTATGTTTTTGGCTTGTGTAATACCGGTAGCCATTTATGATCTCTTACCTACTTTATTCCCCGTAATGGAAGTGACCGAACGAATACAGGAATGGAGAATGCAATAGGAAGGGAATTCTCCTTCAACCTCTTTGGTACGGGACCACCTCAACATCAGCCATTGGTAGACCCTGATTACCCAGCCAGATGCGCGATCAGACGAAAGTGTACATTGCCCAACCTTATTGGGATGGGACCACGTCAACCTCCACCATTGGTAGAACCCGATTATCCAGATGCGCGATAAGACGCCAGGATAATTCTGGCGTGTCGTGCACACAAATCGATCACGCGCTTCGCGATTCTGATAGAAACCGTCCAATCCTGAAACACCCAGCAGTTCCCCAGGCGATTTTCAGCCAATCATGATTTAGGGACACACGTAATCCTCAACCTTTCAGCGTCCAGCCAAGCACCAACCTCATCCACCTGCTTTCTACCCATCCGCATCACACCCCACCTCACCGCATTCAACCGCGCATCTCAGTCAGGCAGCCCCCTGGTCCGTTCGAAATTCGCCATTATTCAAATGTTGCTGGTCTTCCCACAATTCTCAAGTCAGCGACAGAATCATCCCAGGTTCCTACACAACTTTTTAGTTGTACACTTTTCCGCAGTCGACAATGGCCGCCCTCGCCAACGCCGCTGTGCTCCCGTCCACCTTCGTCGGCCAGAGCGCTGAGCTCGCCGCCAAGGTGAACAATGTCGATGCCCGTGTGACGATGAGGAAGACCGCCAAGGCGGCCTCCAGCAGCGCCTTCTACGGCCCCGACCGCAACCTGTTCCTGGGCCCGTTCTCCTCCCCCCCGTCTTACCTCACCGGCGAGTACCCCGGTGACTACGGCTGGGACACCGCGGGTCTGTCCGCTGACCCCGAGACCTTCGCCAAGAACCGCGAGCTGGAGGTGCGTTGCTTACACCAAATGTAAACGAGTCATATTGTCGGCAATTTCGTAATTTCTGATTGAATTCCGTTCCATCTCTGCTGTCACCGTCGCCAACTCTTTGACTCGGGATCTAACCATTGCCGGCCCTTTTTTGCCTCCGTTCTCTTTCAGGTGATCCACGCCCGCTGGGCTCTGCTCGGTGCCCTCGGCTGCCTCACCCCAGAGCTCCTCGCCGGCAACGGCGTGAACTTCGGCGAGGCTGTGTGGTTCAAGGCCGGTGCCCAGATCTTCTCCGAGGGCGGCCTTGACTACCTCGGCAACCCCAGCCTGATCCACGCGCAGTCCATCCTGGCCATCTGGGCCACCCAGGTCATCCTCATGGGTGCCGTCGAGAGCTACCGCGTGGGTGGCCTCGAGGGCTTCCAAGAGGTTGAGGACCCCCTGTACCCCGGCGGTGCCTTCGACCCCCTGGGTCTGGCTGACGACCCCGATGCCCTTGCTGAGCTGAAGGTGAAGGAGCTCAAGAACGGCCGCCTCGCCATGGTGTCGATGTTCGGCTTCTTCGTCCAGGCCATCGTCACCGGCAAGGGCCCCCTGGAGAACCTGTCCGACCACCTGGCTGACCCCACCGTGAACAACGCCTGGGCCTATGCCACCAACTTCACCCCCGGCGCTTAAATGTGCAGTTGTCTAGTTGTGGTGCTTTGTATCTATACTAGATATCAGCTGCAAGGCTGTTCATAAATTTCCACGATATTCTAAAACAAGCGACCCCCAACAATGAACGAATCATAGGTGTTAGCATCCCAACAAGTTCTTGACCATGCATTATTGCTTTTGATGGCATAGCACATCTGCGAGCACACTTGTGGGCACTTGTTGCAGACTCTGCGCCATGACTCTTTCAGTTTTAGCTTAGTCCTGCAGCATAGCTTGCACAATCCCTGCCCTCCCAAATCAGTGATCTAAGAGTACATTACTGCAACTCAGCTCTTCACTGCATGCCCATGCTGCTGGTCCTGCACCATCTGAGGCTAATCCCCTTCTCCTGCTGTAGCACCAACAGCAGATGTTTCATTCAGTGTTTGTCTGCATGCCCGTGCTGCAGGTCCTGCACCATGGCTCTCACTGCCTTGCTGATCTGCTCCAACCGAGTTGCTCCCAGCACCATCTGCGCCTCCCCCTCTCCTCCGGCTGCACCCACGGCAGACGTGTCAATTGCTGCGCCTCTTGCTTCGTCCACCAGGCTTTCTGACAGCAGCCGGTGCCTTGCTGTGTCCTGCAAGTGGGGGGACACGCGGAGGAGGATGGCAGTAGGGAATGGAGATAAGCTAAACTCAGAATTTGAGCCAGTGCCTTGCTGTGCCCTGCAAGCGGGGGACAGGCACCGGATTATGAATCAGGGAGTGGGGAAAGCAAGTGAACTCGTTATTGCATCTCTTGCATTGTCAACCAGGCTTTCCATTGCGCGTGGGGAAAGAGGTGAAGGAGGATGATATCAGGGACTATCCAGCAAACGAATCACTCTCTTGCATCTGGAACTGTCCACTTGACAACAGGGCCTGCACACAGGGAGACAGTCGAAGGAGTGGTAAAACATGGAACAATCGAGCTCATTTTCTTCCTCTTGCTCCATCCACCAGGCTTTTGAACACCAGTCTGTGCCTCGCTGCGTACTGGATGGTGGGAGAGAGGGGAAGACACATGATACCAGGGACTATGCAGCAAAAAAAATCACTGTCATGCCTCTGGACTCGTCCAATTGACAGCAGCCGGTGCCTTGCTTGCTGCGTCCTGCACGCAGGGCGACAGTTGAAGGAGTGGTAAAAAGTTTCCAGTGCCCCACGACTCACCACTTGCTGTGAGCCCGGTCCTGGTGCTCTGCCGATTTATCAGTTGACTCAGGCATTGCTCATGTCTCACTACTCACCACTTGTTGCTGAGCCAACTTCCCAGTCGACTAGAAAAATGGCTGTGCCTCACTGCTCACCACTTGCTGCTAAGCCAATCATCTCAGTCGACAAAAAAAAATCGCATGTCACATGACTCACCACTTGCTGCTGAGCCCGGTCGCAGGCGGCTTGAAAGAGGTCCACTCGGCTCTGAAACACCTCCAGCGCTGATGCTATCGCCACCTCACTGCGTGGCGCACTGGAGCTGCTTATAAAGAGGACAACGATGGAAATCAAGGAAGTGTTCAATGTCCAATGATTTGGGGGATAAGGAACAGAATGGGGCAAAAGGGAACGGCAAAATTAGTGAGAGTAGGGCAAGTTAAGCGGAGGAGATTAAAAGAGAGAGGGGGATAAGGCAGGTGTGTGTGTGTGTGTGTGTGTGTGTGTGTGTGTGTGTGTGTGTGTGTGTGTGTGGTGTGCGTGGGAGTCAGACGTGTGTGGGTGAGAGGTGCGCGGGAGAAATGCCTTAACGTGTGTACCCTGAGTGCGCACCACCGCGAGGAGTGGAAGAAGCAGCCTCCATGAGCAGCGAGGCAGAGGCGAGCACCTCCTGACGGGCGAGGCAACATGGAAGGAGGAGAGGCCGATGGGAAGAAGTGACAGACAGCTACAGATGGGAGCAAGAAAAACCGGAGTAAGTGACGACCAGAGCGGGATCAAAAGAGGACAAAACGGGTAGGAAGGGTGAGTAAAGAACTGTTGGAAGCGTCGCGGAAGGGTGGCAGAAAGGTGGCGCAAACGTGGGAAAGGGTGGCGGAAAGTGGTGGAAGGATGGCAGGGAAAGCAGCGTGCGCCAGCAGTGCACGGGTGGAATGGAATGGCGAGACGCACATCGAAGGAGCTCTGCAGGCGAGCCGCCATCGCATCCATCGCCTGGCGATCCTTCGCGGCCACTCTGAAAGAATCTCAGCCGTCCGTCTCAGCTGTCTTTCGGAGGTGCAACGGCGAGATCGGGGAAGGAAGCAGCGCGGAAAGGCGGAGAAGGGGGAAGGGAGGGAGAGGAGGTACAGCTGAGCGGGGGAGGGGGAGTAAGGGGGGAGACGAAGCGGGAGCAGGAAAGAGAGACGAGCCGGTGGGGGTTACACAAGCTCTCTCGAAGTCTCGAGACAGGCGAATTTCGGCGAAGAGCCGCACGGGACGGCGATGGATGGGCTGAATGACGGCCGACGAGCAGATGACATTTCAGGAGACTCAAAAGCACCTGAAATTCGGCGCTTCTTTCTGTCGCCGGGTGACGGTATCAGGGAGAGACAAACAGGTTGAGCTGAGACCTACAATACGATAGAGTCGAACTTACCGTGGACCTAGGGGAAGGAAAGTGATGAAGTGAAGCGACAGCGAGGCTATGTCGTGGATTACACTACTCCTACTCTCCTCTTCCCTTCACGTCTGGTTTGCTCGCACGACCGTACCGCTGATTATAATTTCTGAAGCACATCGGAAATAGTAGACAGCGCGCTGCCGCATCAACGTGCATCGACGCTAGAAAAGGCAGATGAATGCGGAAAAGCAGGCAGTTTCGATCCACCTTTAGGAGTGGTGCGAGTAGTGCATCTTGCCAATACACTCACTTATCTATCGTGCACACAAAGATTCCTTATCTTCGTGTATATTTCAGCGGACAAGCGAGGGTCCAAAATTGTTGTGGGTGGGGGAAGGGGGCATTCAAAACGTTTGAATCTGAAACCGCCAAGCTCTTTGGCGAGAGTATGTGGCGATTCGCGAACCCTGGTCAGGCAACAAGCGAACACTCCACCTCTTGTTTTTTTTCGTAGCTACCCTGATACTTTTCAAACTACGGGGGGGTGCCTGATACATACACACTACTCAGTAAATTCCAACATAGCCGAGACGCTATGCGACAGTGATTTTACTCCGAGTCGCTACTCCCCCGTCCTACTGTGAAACATCTTTACCGTTTCGTGCGCCATCATGGATTCGGTCTTCGGGTATGTCCAGCTTTCTTCTTCTTCTCGTCCGTTGAGAGGCTACACTCTTTACTCTCTTCTCTACGACGACTACTGCGCGGCTCCTCCGCGGCTCCTCCGCGGTTCTTTTGCGGTTCCTCCGCGGTTCCTCCGCGGCTCCTGCGCTCGTGGCTCTGCCGTTGCCACTCTCGGCGCCGGCCGTCCCGATCGTGGCAGCGCCGCGGTGTTTCACACAGCCTGCTCTTACCCTTTCAAGAAAGGTACAAATACCCTTTTCCCAGTACCTCCGCACTGGGTTGAGCCTTATCTGTTGGCATCTTCAGAGTAGGCTCGCAGCGAGTGGAACGACGCAAAGCGCTTTCGTAGCGTGAAACGGCGAATCGCACCCTTTTCAGTAGTGCGAGAAGTGTTTGGAACATCTGACCCATTTGCGCGTACCTTTGTTTGCGTATCTTCGTTTTTTTTTTTTTTTCACCGCTGCATTCCATCTTCACTCTTCACCACCCCCCTTAGCTTCTCCCTCCCCTCTCTCTTTGCTTGCTCACCTTCTTTCCCTCCCTCTCCTCCCTCAATTTCTCCCTCACTGCCTCCCTCGCTCCCTTCCTCGCTCCCTTCCTCGCTCCCTTCCTCGCTCCCTTCCTCGCTCCCTCCCTCGCCTCCTCCCTCGTTCTCTCTCTCCCTTCCTCCCTCCCTCTCTCCCTTCCTCCCTCCCTCTCTCCCTTCCTCCCTCCCTCTCTCCCTCCCTCCCTCCCTCTCTCCCTCCCTCCCTCCCTCTCTCCCTCCCTCCCTCCCTCCCTCTCTCCCTCCCTCCCTCCCTGACTCCCTCCCTCCCTCCCTCACACCTTCCCTCCCTCCCTCACACCCTCCCTCCCTCCCTCCCTCATACCCTCCCTCCCTCCCTCATACCCACCCTCCCTCCCTCATACCCTCCCTCCCTCCCTCACACCCTCCGTCCCTCGCTCACTCCCGTCCACACTCCCTCCCTCACTCCCTCCCTTGCTCCCTCCCGTCCTCACTTCCTTTGTTGCTCCCGCTCCCGTCCTCTTCCGTCTTTACTCCCTCTCAGTTGGAAGAGCTCTAGGGCATGGTGGACTGGACCTAAGGGCTTTCGTGATTTTTGAGGCGCCTAAAAAAATGCGGGATAAGAGACGACTTTTGAGGCGCCTCAAAAGTCTTTACTCCCTCTCAGTTGGAAGAGCTCTAGGACATGGTGGACTGGACCTAAGGGCCCTCGTGACATCTCCTGCTTCATCTCCCACTTCTTTCGTGAGCATACCTGGCGACATCTCACGTTTCTTTTCAGACCAGCAGGTGGTCTATTAGTCATGATATCAGCTGTGTCTCATCTCCTTGTAAACAACTCTGATTTCGAACACATTGACGCATCCAGTTGAATCATTTTCCTGACAGGAATCGTGGAAGAGAAATTGGAGTACGGAAGGACTCCTTGATTTACCTCCCCTCCCTCACACCCCCTTCCTCCCCCCCCCAGCCCTTTCCACGACCTCAAAATCCTTCAAGTGGCGCTTGGGGGAGCTTGAGGGAGTTTGAGGGACTTTGAGGGACTTTGAGGGAGGTTGAGGGACTTTGAGGAGCTCGGTTTTTATTCCAACCCACTGCTGGTATGCCTTCTGCCTAGGACCTTCCGTTCTTTGCAAACAGATGGGCAGGGGAATTGGACTTAACAAAAATTGGCACCTGAATTGACACCTCTTCTGATACCTCTTGACACTTATCTTGCCACCTCTCTTGTTGCCTCAACTCACACCTTGACTCACACCTTAACTCGCACCTGGCACCTTACTAACACGTTTCCTAACACACCCCTTTCTCTCCCTTCCTCTTGTTTCACTACTTTTCAGGAAGCCCGCAACTCATTTTGAAAGAATCTTTATCAATCATTCCACAATCTCCTGGGGTGTTTTCTTTCAAGATTTTCGCACACTAGTTTATTCATCGCCCACAAAGCTTTTCAGCTGCCTGGAGGCCATAGTAGCAGAGCAGCTGAGGAGGCCCGTGTGGCGAAAAAGAATGGTGGCTGAGGGGTACACTGTTGTCAACCTCCGTTCTTTGTTTGCCAACCTGCCTTCTCCGTTCCTTAACCTCTTTGCTCAAATTGCCAACCTGCCTTCCCTGTTCCGCAACCTCCTTGCTCTGTTTGTCAACCTGCCTTCTCCGTTCCTTAACCTCCCTGCTCAAATCACCAACCTGCCTTCCCTGTTCCGCAACCTCCCTGCTCTGTTTGTCAACCTGCCTTCTCCGTTCCTTAACCTCTTTGCTCAAATTGCCAACCTGCCTTCCCTGTTCCGCAACCTCCCTGCTCTGTTTGTCAACCTGCCTTCTCCGTTCCTTAACCTCCCTGCTCAAATTGCCAACCTGCCTTCCCTGTTCCTTAACCTCCCTGCTTTGTTTGTCAGCCTGCGTTCCCTGTTCCTTTACCTCCCTGCTCTGTTTGCCAACCTGCCTTCCCTGTTCCTTTACCTCCCTGCTTTGTTTGTCATCCTGCCTGCCCTTTTCCGCAACCTCCCTCCTTTTTCCCTTAAACTCCCTTCTTTGTTTGCCAACTTGCCTTCCCTGTTCTGCAACCTCACTCCTTTGTACCTTAACATCCCTGCTTCGTTTGCCAACCTGCCTTCCCTGTTCCGCAACCTCCCTCCTTTGTACCTTAACATCCCTGGTCTGTTTGCCAACCTGCCTTCGTTGTTCCGCCTTGCCAACCTCCCGTCTCTTTTCCTCGCTCTTGCGCAAGTTCACTTCATGATTCAGCGACTATCCCTCACGCTTGCGCAACTTCACTTCATGGTTGAACGGCTTTCCCTTGCCCTTGCGCAACTTCATTCCATGGTCGAGCGACTTTCCCTCTCTCTTGCGCAACTTCATTTGATGGTTCAACGACTTCCCCTCACTCTTCCGCAACTTCACTCGATGGTTCAGCAGCTTTCCCTCGCTGTTATGCAAGGTCGGTTCGTGGTTCCGAAAATTCGGTTCGTGGTTCCGCAGACCCCATAGTCGTCTGGGAGAAGAACCGGATGTGGTGGTTACAGTTCCCAGGAAGCACTATCACCTCCCCAGCATCACCATCTTACTCAAGCTTCTTGCAGAGAAGTCAAAATTGTAGCCACTCTTCGACCAAGCATTACACTCAATGCTTGAGGAAATGTCTATACACGCTTTAAAGCTCGCGTCTCATATTTCTGCCATCCAACCAAGTGTTAAACGGTTGGAATCCGGTAACAGCAGAGTTTGTCGCGAAGCACACCAAAGCAAGGGGTGGTTGGGAAAGTTGGCTGTCGCACACTTCCCCGTGCACACCAAGTGTTAACAACTGCCGAAAATGAGACTCTGAACTGAACGTTGACAGAACCCAGGACCAAACCTGTCACCCTTGCCTCGGTTTCCCCCCAAACCAACCCACCCTGGTTTGTTTTGGCCTCGATCTTTTGGAGTTCGCTGTGTTTTTTTCGCCCACTCGTCAAATATTTCGACTTTCGTTACCCAATCAAACCCTTGCAAACCCAACCAAGTGTTAAACGGTTGGAAATTAGAGACGCGAGCTTTAAAGCCAGCAGGCAAAATAGTGACCCCCCCCTTCTAGTTGGGTCCACTTGAAGATGAAGTATTTTTGTTTTGTTTTGGAATGTTGGAATTGCTGTATGTGTGCTTTTTTTTCCGACCCTCGGACGAGTTTCTTATTGGACCAGGAACGATAGTTCATTGTCAATTCTGATTGGCAGCCAGGTTCTCTCACATGTACATGTGCGAATATGGCGCAAAGTTGAGCGACGAGCACTCCTGCATTCACTAGAGCCAATACTTCACCAAATTCACAACTAGCAACATCTCACGCTAAATCCCAAGCAGACACACATGTACGTGATGAGAGTGAAAGTGTTTAAACGTTATTAGAGCTAGTAGAGCTCTGATCAATGTGCTGCCTTGGACTTGAGGCCTGGGAGAGGTGCAATAACGGGAAACAGAAGAGAAAAACAGCACTAGGGGGGAAATTATGATGGGCAAGGTGACGCGAATGAAGAGAAAGAGGGAGGGCGACGGGAAACGGGAGGGCGACGGGAAGGGAGGGCGTAGGAAACGGGAGGGCGACGGAAGAAGGGGGGCGACGGGAAACGGGAGGGCGACGGGAAACGGGAGGGCGACGGGAAACGCGAGGGCGACGGGAAACGGGAGGGCGACGGGAAACGGGAGGGCGACGGAAAACGGGAGGGCGACGGGAAACGGGAGGGCGGGAAACGCGAGAGCGACGAGAAAAGGGAGGGCGACGGAAGAAGGGAGGGCGACGGGAAACGGGAGGGCGACGGGAAACCGGAGGGCGACGGGAAATGCGAGGGCGACGGGAAACGGGAGGGCGACGGGAAAAGGGAGGGCGACGGGAAACGGGAGGGGGGCGGGAAACGGGAGGGCGACGGGAAACGGGAGGGCGACGGGAGAGAGGATAGGCGGCGGGAGAGAGGGTGTCGAGAATAGATGGAAAGACAGAAAAAACAAACAAACCAAACACAATAACAGAGTACGAAATGGGTCACGCTGACGCGATAGCAGAGGGAGAACGAGAGAGGCGACGGAGAAAGGAGGGCATACGTGATGGGAGAGTCGAAGGTCGCCGGGAGGGCTATTCGAGGCGAGCGAGAAGGGAGGATGGGAAGGGAGCAGAAAGAGAGAGGGCAATGGGAAGGGAGCGGAGAGAGAGAGCGCGACGGGAAGGGAGCGGAGAGAGAGCGCGATTCGAAGGGAGGAGCGAGAGAGAGGGCGGAGCGGAGAGAGAGAACGCGATGGGAAGGGAGGGGCGAGAGAGAGGGCGACGGGAAGGGCGCGGAGAGAGAGAGCGCGACGGGAAGGGAGGGGCGAGAGAGAGGGCGACGGGAAGGGAGCGGAGAGAGAGAGCGCGACGGGGCGAGCGACGGGAGGGCGATCGGTAGGGAGGGGCGAGAGAGAGGCCGACGGGAGGAGAGGAGGGGAGAGAGGGCGACGAAGAGGGCGACGGGACGGGCGACGAGATGGCGACGTGACGCGCGACGGAAAGGGAGACGGGTGGGCGATTTGGCGAACTCGAGGATAGCATAGTGGGCGATGAGAGGGGTGAGAGGAATGGCGACGGGAATGGGGTTCTCTGTGATCGCGAGGAAAATATCACTACGCAGCAACGGCGACGAAGTATCACAAACAATCTAATGATAATTTCATTTCTATGCCGCATCAGCCTAATCCCTCGTCTCTGGCTATTCTATGCTAGGCAAGCTCCGTGAGTTAGGCAAGCTACGTGAATGGAGTTGAAGTAAGCATATGTGGAACCCAGGCCCAGCTTGAAAGTCGAAGTCGGGTCCAACCATCAAAACGCACGACAAACAACTGTCGTGCAAATGTCGCATGCAGAAAATGCGAACGCGCGAGCACGATCTGATTTTTTTTTTTGGCGGGAACGAATCACGTGTGTTCAGACTGTGGAAGGGCGATGCCCGGAACAGTGTTTTACACAGCCCATCGTCGTTCCAGTTTTGCTTCTTCCGAGCACGATTTCAAGTTGGATCCGCCTTCACTATTTTATATTCCGGTTTTAAACATGTGCTTATCCCATAGAGTTACCGGTAGTAGACCAGAGGTGATCAAAGAGAATTGGCTTTCTTCCTTTGTAATGATTTTGTCAGTACCGTATTTTTGGTTAGTTTTGTAGAAATTACAATGAAAGCCCAGCACCCAAAGCGCAATCACAAACTGGGCCCAGTTTGCTTGTGCAGCTGCACCTGGACGGTACCGTAAATCAGGGACACTGGGAGGGGAAGCTCATCAAGAACATTACAACATTGTAGTCTAGTAGGAAACTGATGTTGAAACTTACTTTGAACAAAGCATTTGACAAATGGACTGTTTTCAACCGTTCAGACGCTACGGTTCGTTTGGATTTTTTTTCCAAATGTTCTACGCTACGCCCTAAGTAGCCAAGCTAGCCTTCGCTATTTTTGTGCTAGGCTTCATTAATGGTAGTTTTTCTAGAAACAAGTTGATGCAATCGCAAATTCCATGGAGGTTATACTAAAACCTTCAAAAACATGAAGAGGGCTTGCGTTGTTTAGTAGGTTGTCTTGCATTTCAGACATTGAAAATTAGTTGCTGCAGATAAAGTATGTACGGTATGCATCTCTCTAACAGTACCAAAACAAATAAGGCTGGGTTTCTAGTATCGCGAACAAGTCATCTTCGCCTGGGACCCACACGTAGGCAGGTAGGTAGCTTTCAGCATGAACCATTCCCCAGAAAGGCAAGATGCGGTAGCTTATCTTCCTGCAGCGTGAAAGCAAGTCGTTTCGACCTTCTATATCTGGTAGATGCTGCTGCTCCTAGGCACTAGTTAAATGATATCATTAAGTGGATAACAAAAACATAATATACATGCTAAAGCAAGGACACCTGTCCCAGCCAAAAACAAGCAGTACCCGCACCACACCAACCACCAACTCAGCTAAAGGCAGAGGGAACTATCCACTATACTTATGATTTAAACCATGGCAGCGACGCCTTGCGACTTGGGCGTCTCAACCTTCAGGTCGTACTTCTGGCCGCGAACCACGGCGTACATCTTGTCGGGTGCGATGTAGTCGCAGGTGCGCTCGATGCGGAAGGGCTGGCCGGGAATCTGGTCGCCCGAGTGGATCTGCACGCCCGTGATCACGGCGTAGTCCGCCGTGGCGGGGTTCACCGTGAGCGAGATGAGCTTCTCCAAGTCCTCGTTAATCGCCGCCAGCGCCGCGCGCGTCACGTCCACCAGCGACTGGTTGCCGCCCGGCGACACCTGCGGGGAATTGAGAAATTGGAGAAAAACAGGGATTTTGAGTGAACGAGCGGAAGTTGAGAATCTATGTTAAGGATACTGCGTTGCAGCGTGTACATCAAATCGTAGCTTTCTTGAAGCTTTCAGCTCTTAATTTCTCGGATTCATTGACCATCCGCTCACCTTAGCCATGATCTTCTTGCGCAGCAGCGTGTACTCGGGGTCGTCGCTGTCCATGCTGGGCGCCACGCCGTTCTTGATGTCGTTGTTGATGGCGATCAACGCTCCGCACGCGCTCGACGGCTTACCGCGACCGCGACGCAGCAGCGACCCCACCTCGCCCGACTCGCCGATGGACACGTGCGGGAACGCGAAGAAGATGTCTGCAGAGGGGTGGTTATGATATGGGATAAGGAAGTAAGAGGGTTAATTCAGTGAAGAACTCGGGGTTTGTGGTATGTTTGCAGTGGGGAAATCAGGAGGGTTGTAGCAGATTATGCAAAAATGCCGTTTCAACACAGGAGAAGCGGCGGAGAAGCGATGAGTGAGGATGCTGAAATGACACGCGGAAAAAGTGGAAAACAAGGTAATTTCGAATGTTACTCAATTCACAGTAGGGTAACCTTAATGCGAACCCAGACGTACATCGCTCCTTGAGGTTGCCGTCGACGTCGCAGGGGAACTCGGGCGAGTGGCTCATGGCGGCTCCGAAGCCGACCTTGCCGCAGTTGACGAGCCCGCCCAGCCCCGAGATGTTGAAGCTCAGCCCGAACTCGCGGTCGATGATGCTCACCACGGGCCGGCACACCTCGTCGCGGCACGTGTTCACCAGCGCGATGCCGTTGTCCTTGCGGAACCCCAGCTTCGCCAGCTCCACCGCCACGGCCTTCAGGAACGCCTCCTCCTGCATCGCCGACGGGAACGTCGTCGCCATCGTCGCCAGAGCGGACGCCGCCGCGTGCTTCGCGCGCGGAACGATGCCGCTGGGCGGGACGCTGGTCACAGCGGGAGAGGAGGGGGCGAGTGCGGCGGGAGCGGCGGCGGGAGACGCGGTGAGCTTCTTCACGGCGACGTAGGTCGCGGCGCCCAGAGCGCCGGCGCCGACGACGGCGGGGAGGAGGGCGCTGGTGGCAGGGGCGGCGGGAGCAGCCGTGGATTGGGAGACGCTGGCGAAATGGCTGTCGCCGCTGGCCATGGCGACGATGTTGGTGCGACGGTTACCGCATTTCGCGCATGGGCAGGCGCAGGATCGGCCGCACGACACGCAGGTGCATGTTTGAACACCAGCGGAGGCGGAGAGTCCCCTTTGCGCCTTGAGGCCGGAGAACGCTGGGATTGCCGCGCGGGATGAAGTTGCGAGGGAGCTTCCCTCTGGGACTGATAGGGAGCGAAGGGAGACGGACGCCGAGGAAGAGAGTGTCGCAACCATTATGTCGGAAAGTGGTGCAAAGGCCTGGAAACTGCAGAGGTGTAATGAGACGCTTTGGTCTTCGACGGCGACTGAGACTGATCGGTACGAGAAAACTGGAAAACTGTATAACAAATCAACAATCTCGGAGGGGTGTTTATATGATGTCAGAATGTTGCACATTGCGCGGCAATCTCGTGCCAGCAACTCGTTTGCCTGGTGAACGCGGGAAAAGATTGCGACTACGCTTTTCTGAAAGGTGGTCTGAATCTCGCTCTGGATTTTGGACTTGTCGGGTCGGGGCTAAGAGGTTTGAGGGGTCTTGCAAGCAATTTTTGTCTGGGTGCGGTTCGCGCGTGCGCTTGGTGAGTGGTGAGGGGAGCTGACCTGGATCATCCACATGGGTGCACCCAGGTCAGGAAGACAGCCACGTCAGCCTAAAGTCGATAAGTCCATGGCTCCAATTTTGCTCTCGAAGCGCACATTGTGACATTCCCTCCCCTCACAGGTTCCCGCTTTTCAGGGTCTTGTGCACTGGGAAGTGGTTGTTCCTATCAACGACGAGGAATTGACATGATGGAAGTCACACGCTCGCCCCAATCCTCTTCGATGTTGATGCAAGGCAGGAGGTGCAGGAGAACTATCCAGGCCCTAAGCAGTCAGGATATTTACCCTGATTTCCCTGATTTTCAGGCTGTTTTGGTGTACTGACCCTGAATTTCCAGCGTTTTATATTTTGTAACACTGAAATTTCACTGTCTTTTTTTTTTTTTTTTTTTCGCAACATTTTCTCAGAGTTCTAGGTCCATGGTACACTGATGAATCAGTGTTGTATAGAGTTCGACTATGAATCAAAATTCTACAGCCAAACATTCCTCATAAACAAGACAAAACGCAGGTAAGGAAACTGTCAAACTTATATGCTATAGTCGGTGTAGGCTGTAGTGGGGTAGACAATATGGGGTACAACACTTTTAGGTTTTCCTACTTGTACCCACCTGTTTGCCAGTGCATTCATTCCTCGTTCTTTCACATGGTATAGAGCAGGTTCCCTAGTGGGAACGTTTCCTAGGGCCCACCGAAAATCGATTTTTTTTTTCCTGCCCGGAGCGCGCTTTGCCCCTGCCCGAGTCGCGCCCCGCGTGCCTGCCCTCCCGTCGCGTCCGCTGCCCTTAGCGGCCCGTCGCGCTCCCTTACGGCCCCGTAGCGGCCCCTCTCTCGGCCCCTCACGGCCCCTTTCACGGCCCTTCGCGGCCCCTTCAGGCCCCTCGCGGCCCCTTCGTGGCCCCTCGCGGCCCCTTCGCGGCCCCGTCGCCGCCCTTCGCGGCCCCGTCGCCGCCCTTCGAGGCCCCTCGCGGCCCCTTCTCGGCCCCGTCGCCGCCCTTCGCGGCCCCGTCGCCACCCTTCTCGGCCCCGTAGCCGCCCTTCGCGGCCCTTCTCGGCCCCGTCGCCACCCTTCGCGATCCCGTCGCCGCCCGTCTCGGCCCCGTCGCCGCCCTTCGCGGCCCCGTCGCCACCCTTCTCGGCCCCGTAGCCGCCCTTCGCGGCCCTTCTCGGCCCCGTCGCCACCCTTCGCGGCCCCTCACGGCCCCTTCGCGGCCCCGTCGCCGTCCTTCGCGGCCCCTTCACGGCCCTTCGTGGCCCCTTCACCGCCCTTGGCGGCCCCTTCTCGGCTCCTCCGCGGCCCCTTCTCGGCTCCCTCACGGACCTGCCGCCCCGCCGTCGCCGCCCCTGCAGCAGCAGCCAAAGCCGCTCCAGCAGCGGGAGCCGCCACCGCCGGTGCCGCCGACAGCAGGCAGCCGCCGCCGCCACAGCCGGGGCCGCATCCGCCGCAGCAGCCTACAGCAGCAGCAGCCGCCGACGGCAGCAGCCGCAGCCGCCACAGCCGGGGCCGCAGCCGCCGCAGCCGCCGCCTGCAGCTGCCGTCGTCGTCGACAGCAGGGGCCGCCGCCGCTGTCCCGGCCCTGCCCTGCAGAGCGGAGCGGCGCTCCTCTGCCGCCCTGTAGCGGCCCCGTCCCTGCCGATGCGCCTCGGCCCTGCCCCACCACTTGCGGCACTCTACCCACCTGCCCTGGTAAGAGCACCACCGAGCCGCGCCCCTTCTGTTGCTACTGCTGCTGCTGCCCTAGCCTGCTGCCACTGCTGTCATGGCTACCCCTAGCGTTCTCGCCTTTGATGCTGAGGGTCGGGCTGTTGACTTTGAGGTCTGGGTCGATGATCTACAGCTTTTCCTACAGTGCGATAGGAAAGACGGTCTCTCACTGTTCGATCTCACGTCTGGCGCCTCTGCTGCCCCTGCTGTCAAACTTATATGCTATAGTCTGTGTAGGCTGTAGTGGGGTAGACTATATGGGGTACAACATTTCTAGGTTTTCCTACTTGTACCCACCTGCTTGCTAGTTCATTCATTCCTCATTCTTCACATGGTATAGAGCAGGTTCCCTCGTGGGAACGCTTCTCAGGGCCCACCACCTAACTCGATCTTTTTTTTTCCTTCCCGAGGCGTGCCCCGTAGGCCGCCCTCACGTCGCGCCCTCCTAGAGGCCCCTCGCGCCACCCTTAGCGGCCCCGTTGCCGTCCTTAGCGACCCCGTCGCCGCCCCTCTAGGCCCCTCGCGGCCCCTTCACGGCCCCATCGCCGCCGCTCTAGGCCCCGTCGCCGCCGCTTTAGGCCCCTCGCGGCCCCTTCACGGCCCCGTCGCCGCCGCTCTAGGCCCCGTCGCCGCCCCTATAGGCCCCTCGCGGCCCCTTCACGGCCCCGTCGCCGCCCCTAGCGGCCCCTCTGCGGCCCCGTCGCCGCCCCTAGCGGCCCCGTCGCCGCCCCTGGAGGCCCCGTCGCCGCCCCTGGAGGCCCCGTCGCCGCCCCTGGAGGCCAGGTCGCCGCCCTTCGCGGCCACCTCGCCGCCCTTAGCGGCCCCGTCGCCGCCCCTAGTGGCCCCATCGCCGCCTCTACCGGCCCCGTCGCCGCCTCTACCGGCCCCGTCGCCGCCTCTACTGGCCCCTTCACCGCTGAGCCGCCCAGCAGCTGAGCAGCCGAACCACCCAGCAGCCGAGCCGCCCAACAGCCGAGCCGCCGAGCCGCCCAGCAGCCGAGCCGCCGAGCCACCGAGCCGCCCAGCAATCGAGCCGCCGAGCCGCCCAGCAGCCGAGCCGCCCAACAGCCGAGCCGCCGAGCCGCCCAGCAACCGAGCCGCCGAGCCGCCGAGCAGCCGAGCCGCCGAGCCGCCCTGCCGTCGAGCCGCTGCTGTTCCTACCGGCGCGCCCCGGCCCTACTTACTCGGACTGGTGAGATCACTCCCTGCTAGGCCACTGCAGTCATGGCTACCCCCAGTGTCCTTACCTTTGATGCTGAGGGTCGTGCTGTTGACTTTGAGGTCTGGGTCGATGACCTCCAGCTGTTCCTACAGTGCGATAGGGCAGACGGACTCTCCCTGTTCGATCTCACCTCTGGTGCCTCTCCTGCCCCGCCTGCTACTGCTGACAGCACTGTTCGCTCACAGTGGGCCACACGCGATGCTGCTGCCCGTCTTGCTGTGCGTCGCCACTTACCGACCACTGAGCGTGCGCACTTTAGCCGGTACAAGAGTGCTAAGACCTTGTACGACGCTGTAGTTGCACACTACTCCTCCCCTGCCACTGCTGCACTTAGCCGCCTCATGCTGCCGTACCTGTTCCCTGACCTTGCTGCCTTTCCCACAGTCGCTGACCTCATTACGAACCTTCGCACTAGTGACACTCGCTACCGCGCTGCGCTTCCTGCTGAGTTCTGTGCCAAGAACCCCCCCCCCCATGTACATCACCCTCTACTACATAGTCACCCGGCTCCCTGACTCCCTTCGCTTAGTCAGGGACCACTTCCTCTCAGTTTGCCCCACCACACTCACCGTTGACCTCCTCGAGGAGCGCCTCCTAGCAGCAGAGAAGAGTATAGTCGCTGTAGGAGCCTCTCGTGGTGACCCTCGCACCCCCGTCTTTGAGGGGTGTTCCCCCTCACCCCTCTTGCCCTCTGTTGCTTCTGCTGCTGCGGCCGACCTCGTTGGTTTCGAGTCGGTCGGCGCTGCGTCTGCCCCTAGCGGGAGACGCCGCACCGGCAAGGGCAAGGGGGGCAAGGGCGCTGGAGGGGCTGGCGGGGGCGGTGGAGGTGGTGGTGGAGGCAGTGGAGGGGGTGGGGGTGGTGGTGGGAGTGGTGGCGGGGGTGGAGGTGTCGGTGGCAGCAGTGGAGGCGGAGGAGGCGGCGGCGGTGGCGGAGGGAGCGGAGGCGGCGGAGGTGGCGGAGGCGGCGGAGGTGGCGGAGGCGGCGGAGGCAGCGGTGGAGCTGGTCGCGGCTCTGCGTAGAGGAGTGGCTCCGGTGGTGGTCCGCGCCAGCAGGAGCAGCGCAGTCGTGAGACCCCGTCCCCCCAGCAGCTTCGTGAATGGTACGCTGGGCGTCAGCGAGGTGAGGGTACTGGTCCCTGCACCTACGTCCTCCGTACTGGCGACCGCGCTGGTGAGCAGTGCGGGGGCCCGCACTCCACCCAGCGCTGCTTCGGCCGCCTGACGGACGCGTGGCGTCACCAGTTCCCTGACGCCACTGAGATCCCTCGCTGGGGAGAGCTGTCTAGGGCGGGGGTTGCTATCTTTGATCTTGATTATGATGCTATTCTTGCTGCCACGTATGCTGTGTCTACTAGTGATGAGGGTGACTGTTACCTGTGTGTTCCGCCTGACCCGGGCATTGAGGCTGCTGCTCTCGGTGCTGGTGAGACTGCTGCTCTAGGTGCTAGTGCGTCTGCTGCCCCAGGTGCTGGT